TGAAGTTGACTTTGGACGACATGAAGGACATGGGCATCTTCATGGGGCCGCGCAAAGTCCTGGCTGAGCGCATCGCTGCGGTGTCTGCCCCGCCGACGGCCGCGAGCGGATTCCAGGTGGGGGCCTCAGCGGAGTGCGAGTGGAAGGGTGCCTTGGGGTCACTGGGGAAGCTCCTCAGGACGACCCAGATGCCACGGAGTTCATCCGGGGGCTGGCCAAGGCTAAGCCAACGGACCTGGGTGCAGGCCGCTTGGGGGCTTGGGGTGGGTCATCTCTTTTGTCTGCGCCACTGCTGCAGGTGTGCAGGTCTTCGAGCTCACAAAGTCCTTGCCCGCAGAGCCCTACCAACAGAGCGGCTCGAAGCTGCTGACGCGCAACACCACGCGCCAGGCCTGGAAGGCCACTTTCACAGTCATGCAGACAGGCATCAAGCGCGTGGCCATGCTGGGCATCCCCGGTATCGGAAAAAGCCGAAGTCTGGCGCTGGGCCTCTGGCACCTGGTGACGGGCGAGCTGCTGCAAGGGCTCTCCCAGCCCGTGGCCATCGTCTACGAGGCGAGGGAGGGGGTCAAAGTCTATTTTTTCACCAAGGACCAGTCTGGCCAGTGGAAGGCGCAGAGCCGGTCGATGCATCAGTGGGATGCTGCCAGCTGCGAGCACCTGACGTGCGCTGACAACTGGTACCTGGTGGATGCGTACAACACGCTCTCAACGGGTAAATTCATCGCCAGAACCGTTCTCGCGTGCAGCCCAGACCGGAAACACTACTCCAATTTTCTCAAAGATGGCGGCCGCTGCGTCTATTGCGAATCGTGGTCGAAATCTGAGCTCGAAGCGGCGCACACTCGCATTGATGGCTGTGATCTCAAGACCATGCTGGAGAGGTACGACAAGATCGGAGGAAATCTACGGGCGCTGTTGCTTGATGAAGACACATTCAAAAAGTATGTTAGAGACCAAAATTCCGAGGCCGTGGACTGGAGCCGCTTGAGGCCTGCTTTCTGCGGCACGTTGGACAACCAGGACAAAATACTTCTCACGCGCCTATTCACCTACGTCAGCAAGGATGGCCTCGACTACAAGGTTGATTTCTGCTGCACCGGTGTTGCTGCACAGCTTGCCGACATGCACTATAACAACCTCGTACAGATGTGGAGTGACCCAAACGACTCCAATTCGAGGAAGTGGTTCGAGAACTTTGTCGGCCCCCTTTTGACCTCACCATGGTGTAGGCAGCAGAAGCTTGCAGCATGGACCATCACGAACAAAGGCAAGGAAAAGACCACCTGGAACCACAGCAACCCCTTTGAGGTTGTCGACGTTTTGGAGCTCCTGGAGTGCGACACAAGTGAAGTCTTCGATCACAGATGGCGGGCGGCTGTGGGGCAGGATCTAAAGAAGAAGCTTCTTCACAGCCCAGATCTTTACCCAGGCATCGACTATTTGCTGGAGTTCAACCACGGCATCTCCGTGATGAATTCGCTGTCGCACAACATTGCGCCGTTGTTTCTAGATAAATTGCGTGGCGCATTCGAGGGCCACACAGAACACAGTTTCACCCTCACATTCTTCATTACAGGAGCCCCGGCGAGTTTCAAACCGAAGAGTGGGCAAGAATTCAACAACCTGATGGCACTGGCGAAGGAGCCCAATCCGGTGTTTAAGAACGTTCATGTACAGGTCGTGCAGATTCCAAAGACGCGTGAGAGCCTGTGAACACAAAGCCGAGGAAACTGCATCTACTGTGTATAGAAAGCCCACATCGGTCGTCTGGAAAGCTTTTATGCTCTTCTTTGGTTGCATTGTGTGCGCAGACAGGAGCCGCTCACGTCGACCATGCCAACAGCGAGTGAAACCAGGAGGGCGTACGCAAGGGCAGCCGCTGAAGTCTGAGCCCAATCCGTTAGTTTTCTCAGGTCGATCTTCGACGGAAGCACGAGGCTCGGCGTTGCGTTTGCCCGGTGCCCCAAACCCAAACCCATGCCCTGCCTGGTGTAGTCGACATCATCTGCCGGGAGCTGTTTAAAGCAAGTCTGCGCTGGGCAGGCCTCGGGTGGGTGGTAGGGCTGCAGGAGCAGTTGTCCCGGAAATTTTTAAGATATTTGTCAAGAGGACCTCCCTGCTCCCAGTCCGCCTACCATTGTGGGTGCATTTTGGCAGGTTGGCTTGCCATTTCTTCTGGACAGATTGGCCGTACTTTGGTTTCGCTGAAGTTTTGTTTGAGCTGCAATTGTATTTTTGCCGCATTTCGGCTGCATTTGCGCTCGGTGACGGGCAAGTGTCTGCCAGAAGGGTTCCGGCAGCCCGAGGCCATCGTCTACGAAGCCCGGGAGGGCGGCAGGGTCTTCCTTTTCACCAAGGGCCAGGATGACCAGTGGAAGGGACAGCGCCAGTCGATGCGACCATGGGATGCTGCCGACTGCCTGTACCTGGAGGACCCCAACAACTGCTATTTAGTGGATGCTTTCGAGAAAAGACCCACCTTGAAGTTGGCTGCCAAGACTTGGCTCGCCTGCAGCCCAGACCGGGAGCACTACAGCGATTTCATCAAAAGCGGAGGCACGTGCGTCTACGTAGAAGCCTTCTCCTGGCAGCCGCGCGCGGGCCACTTCTGGACACGGGATGTGCGGGGCGCGCGCGCCGCGCTGATGGCCGCGGGGCACTGCCTCAGGGTGGCCAAGCGCTGGGGCCTTC